TTGACATTAATTGATCAAATACATGAAAAAACTTCCTATTGCTTATGTTATGTCTCTTAAACTATATTTTTAAATTAACTAAACATTGTTGTTAAAATATCTGAACTATTACTCCCTAACAGTCATAACATCAATCTTGACACTTTCAATTTCTAGAGATTTATTAAAATCAGATTAGATAATTTGGTTTCTAGTTCTCAAAGAAAGTCAAAACAAAATAAAAAATCTTTATAAGCCATCCTAATATTCAACTTTAATAATATCCAATAAAAGCCACAATTTATTTAGTTCCTACTTTGTGTCATGTAAAGTTTCCAGACCTTTTATGAATATTACCTGTAATCTTAAAAAAAAGACAAAATAGGCACTATCAAATCTAGTTTCAAGATGAGGAAACTGGGGCTTAGAGTGATTAAGTAATTTACCGTAGGTCACTCAGGAGCTAGTAAGTGACAGACCTCCAATTCACAACTCAGAGCTGTGTAACTTTGCTGCTACATGTTGCAGCCTTTGAGCACACGGTGGAGAATGTGCTCACGACAGAATCACCACACTACATGAAACAGAACCCCACAACAGCTCTATAAATTAAAACTCCTACCTATTAGTTTTTATAATATTTTAAACTCATTATATATTAATGGCTTAGAATCCAACCTTTTATAAATATCTGAATATACTGGCTGCTGATAATAGAGTTGGGTCAAAGAAGAAAACTAAGGAGGAAAGAACCATTTAAGTTGGGACATGGAGAATCAGGCCTCCCTGGAAGAGGCCTCAGTGGACGGAGGACGTAAGCCATTCCTCACCTGTTAAAGCGAGGATCAGCATAGGCGTCTGGAATATTCAGGACTTCCCCTGTTCTTGCTACTTGGCCAGCGATTCCTTTCTCAATTGAAAATCTGCATATGTAAAAGACAGGGATATGCTAATTAAAATATAGATGCTGTAAAATATTCTGAAATATTTCATTACGACCAAATATGGAATAAAAAAACATTGTTTTATT